TTCTTTGCATTCCTTCCCTCCTGTGAACTCAGCATCTTTATTTGTAAGAAGAAGTTGAGTCTGATCTATGCTTCCCATAAGAATCAGTCACCAAAATTCACCTGTTCATCCATCCATCCATTCATTCAACAAACCTTCTTTCAGCAAACAGATATGCTGTCAGATACTATCTCTGGAGATCTGGTGGCAAGAGACCTGTTCCCTGTCCCAGGAACTTATATTCTAATCCAGAAGACAAATAGTTATGTAAGAACACATAAAATGATCATTTAAAATAATAACAGATATGATAAAGAAAGATGCCGCAGACTCTGTGAGTCCCACCACAGGCAAAGGGGAGAAAAGGGGAGATGTGGGAGTCAGGGACAGCACTCTGTGAAGGGCCCAGAAGCAGGATGAGGAGGTGGCCATGCAGGCTGTTGGAGGAGTTGCATGCCAGGTGGGGGGAATGACAAGAGCAAAGGTCCCAAGGCGGGAAAGCTTTTGACCTATTTAAGAAACAGCAAGGAAGCCATGTAGCTGCCACAGTGAAGGGAGGGGCAGGGAGAGGAGCCGAGATGGGGTTGAAAGTGGGACTGAGGCCAGATCCTACGAGGTCTTTGGATTTTATTCTTGATCTGACCAAAGGTTAAATTACCCTTGATGTTTCTTCAGCATGTGGATTCCTGGGTCTGTATCTCTGAGCATCTCATTGATTATATCTAGAACAGGACCTAGGATCCCTATTTTAAATATTTTGTTATTTTTATTTTATGTGTATGATTGTATTGCCTGAATGTATGTAAGTACACCCATGGCATGCAGGGCCCATGGAGGTCAGAAGAGGGTATTGGATCCCCTGGAACTGGAGTTATAAATGGTTGTTAGCTGCCATGTGGATGCTGGAAACCGAACCCAGGTCCTCTGCAAGAGCAGCCAGTGCTCTTAACTGCTGAGCCACCTCTCCAGTCCTGGATCTGTACTGTAAAACCTCACTAGGAGCCTTTGATAATTTGCCAGGCTTGGGAAACATAAGTTCTCTCTCCTCTGGTTTTAAAAAGGCTGAGCAGGAGTGGGAGATAGTTCAGCCAGTAAAGTACTTGCTAAGCAAGGATGAGGACCTGAGTTGGATCCTCAGTACCTAGGTAAAAAGATAGGTATGGTGGTGCACACTTGTAACCCCAGTGCAGAAGAGATAGAGACAGGAGGGCTTCTGGGACTCACTGGAGAGCCATCCTAGACCTCAGTGACTCTTAGGTACAAGAGAGAGGCCCTATCTCAAAAAAAAAAAAAAAAGGTAGACAACTCTTGAAAAATAACACCCAGGAATGACCTCTGGCCTGGACATGCACACGTGCACACATGCATGCACACGTGAGCTCCCTCCCACACACATAAAGAAAAAGAAAACTAATTAAAAGAAAGCTGAGCTATAAAACGTTAGAACACACTGAAATAAGATCTTGAATGTTATACCACAGAGGAGTCCCTTCTCCCTTCAGTATATTGTGTAGACTTTATTATATTTTTGTTTGTTTTATTGCAAAATCCCAGGTGGGGTACCCAAGTCCAGAAAGGCGGGATCAGAAGTTGGAGAGAAAGAACAGTCTAACACATTAAGCAATGTAAAGTTACATAAATTCCTGCAATTCCGTTGCATCCTTCCACAGAAAGCCCTGCAAAGACTCAGTCTCTGATCTTTCCTCTTAGGACTCTAGTCCTTGTGTGCCACTCCTTGTGTCTGTAAAGGGTCTTTGAACCTGATATTCCTTCCACCTAAAGTGAATGTCCCCCTTTCTGCAGACTCCTATGTAGAAGAGATGTATCGTTGCATAATAAATTACTCCAAATCTTTGTGGCTGAGAAAAAACATGATAAGCAGTAGTGTTTCATATGGTTTCTGGGAGTTAAGAATTTGGTTGTGTGGTTCTGGCTCACAATATCTCATGAGATTGTACTCGGATGCCAAAAGGTCTGTGTTCTCACCCAAAGCTAGATTGGAGTTCACTTCCCAGTGGTTCACTCACACGGCTGGATATCAGTGCTGGCTGTTGGCAGGAGGACTCTCTTTGGGCTAATTGGGTGTTCTTACAGCATGGTAGTCAGTGGCCCTCAGAGCGATTAGTCCAGGAGAGTAAGGCAGACATTGCCTGGTGACCCAGTTTGAAAATTGTACATGGTCACTTCTACCAACCTACTCATTAAAAATGAGCCACTAAGACCATCCAGTATTCAAGGGGAGAGAAGTAAGCACCTTCTCCTTCTTTAGATGGCAGAACTATGGAGGAATCTGTGAACACGCTTGTTCTAGCTTGCTTTTCTCTTGCTGTGATAAACACCATGACCAAAAGTAACTAGGGGAGGAAGGATTTATTTTAGCTTACACTTCCAGGCCACAATCCATAATTGAGGGGAGTCAGGGCAGGCACCTGGAGGCAGTAACTGAAGCAGAGACCCCAAAGGAACACTTGCTTACTGGCTTGCTCTTCTGATTTGCTTGGCTACCTTTCTTATACAACTCAGGCCCACCTGACCAGGGATGGTACTCCCCACAATGGGCTACATCAATTAGCAACTCAGAAAATGCCTCACAGACATGACCATAGGCAAATCTGATGGGGGAAATTCTTCAGCTGATTTTCCCTCCTTCCAGCTTACTAGGTTTGGCACCAGAAACTAACTACGACATTTTAAGCTACTCCATTCTCAAAGCTAATCCTTAATCTTGCAAATCTCTACTCTCTGTTTCTTAGTAAAAGGGTGTTCTCTGACTATACAAAACATTAGCCATTCTCTCCTGTTTTCTAACCCAATATGCTGTTCTATTCTGGTCATAACTGATCATCATTCAGTAAATCATATTTTGCGTACTTGAGCATTAACAATCTCCTCTGCCATCTGAACATAAACTCATAATCACAACAGTATCCCTCCTTGACTAGGTCACTGCTGCATTTCCACACTGAGAACTGGCATTCAGATATGGAGTTAATGAATGAAAATTAGCCTGGGCCAGGGAAAGAGGCAGCCTTGCTGGGGGCTGAGCTGAAATTGTAAGCTTTGAGTTACCAGAGAAAAGCCTAGAGAACATGCCAGGTAGGATAAAAGGACAGAAAAAAAGGGTACAGAAATGGAAACCTCCTAGCAGAGAAACGAGGCAGAGAAGTTTAGGGAAAACCAAGGTTGGGCAAGCTGGAAAGCAATTCTGGAAGCTCAGAGTTGGCTGGAGGAGGCTGGGAAGCCTTGATTAGAATCTCCATCCTCCTGGGCTTGCAGCATCTCCCAGCTTTGCTTCTGAAGATGCACCAGTAAGCAGCTGACAGAGATGGATGTGTTGTTCTGCCCTTCCTTCCGTATTGAATGGTTTTGGCTTGCTCCCTGGCAGCTCTAACGAACAGGGGGCTTATCAGATGCATTCATCCGGAGTCATAAAACCAGTCTTGATGCATTGGCTGGTGCAGAAGAAATGCTAATGCCTTTGATCAACGCTTGACCAGGAGTCTGAAAGCGGGGTGAGCTCAGATACACCCATGACCCTCAAGCTACCAACTCCTCTTGACATGGAGCCAGGACTTTGAGCGACAAGCTCCTCAAAGATCGAATGGCTAGACAACATCTTGTTCCTTCCTGGGACTCAAATAGAAGAGGAGCATCGGTGATCATGTATTATTTGGCAAAGGAGGGAACTTCAGGCCTTCATGGGAACTGCTGTCCCAAGTAGGTGACCTCACACTTATTAGAAATACCAGATTACCTAGTTTACAAGGAAGTAAAGGCAACATAAAGACATATTTTCTAGACATTTTTGTCCATAAATTGTCTCATTGGTCCTCACTGCAAGTCAATAGTACGTGGACTGATAATATTCTGTGCTACTATTGAGGAAACTGGAACTCAGGTGTCAACTGACTGATACTAAGTCTATAGATGGAGAGGCAGTGTTTGAATTCAGGCATGCCGTCCACCCCTCACACCCAATAAGGAAATGTTGGAAGTCCACAGTGGATGCCTGGAACCAAGGGTACTACTTAACCCTATACATACTATATTTTTCCTATATAAACATATCTATGATAACAATAATAATTAAATTGAGAAATAATAAATACCATACTGTAAGTGTGACGGTTCTCTCAACATATCTTACTGTACTTTCACCTTCTCACTTAAATCAAGCATTTCTGGCTTTTTGTTGGCCTTTTCAAATTTCCAGTGTCACTGTCTTGAACTATAGGGGCATTGTTAAGTACAAAAGAAGTAACTTGAATAACAGACACTCCAGTACCTGGTAATTAATCTCCTAAAGATAACTGCTAACGGACTAAAAGTTGGGCAGCGTGTACTACGTGGGTACAGTGGATAAAGGAATGGTGTACGCCTCAGGCAAAATGCGGGAGGAGAATACAAGGCTTCATCACACCAAGAGAAGTATGTATTTACACTTAGGTTTTGTTTATTGTTAGAATTTTCCATTTAATGTTTTTGGAGCATGGCTGACTACTGGTTATGGAAATCTTGAAAAAGCAAAACTATGGCTAAGAGGGCACAAAAAGGCAGAGAAATGAGTACAACCAGCAAAGCAGAGCTTAAACTATTCCATGCTTTAGTCTCCAACATCTTGAGAGAAGAAATGAGATACTTTCTAAGTCTTTGCTGTATTTTTGTCAGGATAGGATAGGGTATGCTGCAGTAACAAATAAATTCCAAGATCTGAGTAGCTTACTTGAGTTGAAGTTTATTTCTCTTATAAAATCTGATGTGGTTCCAACATCTCTGCTTCACCTTTCAGAATATGCAGACTTCAGAGTCACTGTGACAAGAGAGGAACAAGAGGGAGATTTGTGGATCTTGATTGCTTTGAAGTGGAAATGGCATACCACTCTATTCAGAGACAGTAGACTAAACATAATCTAATGATCTATATCTAATTGCAAGGGAAGCTAGAAAACCTTGGGTCTGAATATTTAATGAAATGACTCCAAATAGCCTAACACTTTTGCTTTCTTATTCTTCCCCTTTAGGACAGAGCCCCAGAGCAGCCCACTGCTCCCTGCCCAGGATGGAGCTTCAGAAAAGCTGAGTCAGCGTCTGACCACTGAGGCCTTTGGCACCAGTAGCTGGGGAAGAGAGAAGGCATGCCAGGAGCTGGGTCCGGCCAGAGCACACAGGTAAGATGCTGCTCCTTCCTCTCTGTCCAGTGGTAAAAGTCAAGTTGAAGGTATAAAAATGAACTTTGTCTCTCTGTTACCTTCTCTTTAGCAAGTTCTTCTTTGAGACCCTTAAATCATGGTCAACAAATAGTTTCTGTAGTGAACCAGATAGTCTGTGTTTTATGTCTGTGGACCCAGTGGTTTTTGTCACAAATAGTTCGATTCTGGCAATCCATAGGCATACTGGAGTTCTGGTGAAAATGTATTTATGAAAACGGGAGTGATCTATGTTATCAATTTGACATACCTGGGAAGAGGAAACCTCAATTGGGGAATTTTCTTCATTGGACTGGCCTGTGGGCATATCTCTGGGGTATTTTCTTGACTGTTGAGTGACGTGGGATGGGCCAACCCACTGTGGGCGATGCCACCCCAGGGCAGGTGTTCCTGTATTGTGTAAGAACGCAAGTTGAGCATGGCCCAGGAAAGCAAGCCAGTAAGCAGCGTTCCTCCATGGTCTGTGCTCCAGGTTCCTGCCCTAAGTTCATGCCTTGGCTTCCCTTGATGATGGACTGTGCTGTAAGCCAAGTAAACACTTTTCTCCCCAAGCTGATTTTGGTCAGTGTTTTTATCACGGCAATAGAAAGCTAACTAAGACAAGGAGGCTGACTAGACTCGGCTTGTGTGAGCAAGCTCCCATCAGTGTGACAAACGTGAGAAAACAAAATAAGGAAAGAGTTATTCTGACTTGTGAGTTCAGAGGTTTTGATTCATGGTCACTCTGGGCCATGCTTGGTTAAGGCCTACGATAGGGAAAAGTGGATCACTTCATGACAAATGGGAGAAAGAAGGGAGGGAGGGAGGGAGGGAGGGACAGAGGGGGAAGAGAGAGAGAGAGAGAGATAGTTCACTAGTGGGCCTCTTCCACCTTTGTTCCTCCTAGGCTCACTGACTACTTGATGCCACCCATATTCAGGGTAGGTCTCTCGCTCTTTGGTTGCTGTCTTGGGACCTGGGGCTCACTGATTAGTTTTAGCTGGCAGGCCAACAAGTCCGAGGGATCCACCTGTCTCCACTGTTCCAGTTCATTGACTGCAAGCACATACCACTGAGCCTGGCCTTTTTACAAGAGTGGAGACCTAATTCAGGTCCTCATGCTTGCACAACAAAGCTCTTCACTAAATGAGCCATCTTCATAATCCAGCTTAAATCCTGGTCCTTGCTGATCTATCAGCATACCTAACTCTTGTGTGCCATGGACGTCTGTGTATCCTTCCCTCTCTCTTGCCTTCTCCCTTCTCAGTGACAAGCAGAAAATGAACTTGGTGTCCTTGTCAGATTCTTTATGTTGAATGATAGGGTGTCAATGTAATTTTATAGATAAAGAACCGAGCCCAGGTGGTAGTAGAACCAAGATCACCTGAGGACCATGGCTTAAATCTCCAGTTCAGAGTTCTTGGCTTAAGGTAGAAATTCAAAGACTTACTAGGCATGCATTTGAGAATTAGATGAAAGCTGTCTCAAAAAAAAAAAAAAAAAAAAACAGGCATGTGTCCCCAGAACGCTGAAAATTATGCATATCATTTCAGAAGGTTCGTGGACCCTTGTTAAGGATCTTGATTCTAGGAGACATAGTTACTTAATTTTCAAGAAGTAGCTTAGGAAGCCCTTAATTTTCAAGAAGTAGCTTAGGAAGCCTGTATGGGAAAGATGCTCCCTCTCCCAGGCTGTCGCCTCTGTCATAACCTTTGGTTGGGCTGTGACCTCACTGACGGAGAAGGAGTTAAGTCCAACCATTTTCAGAACTGCAGTTCAACATCAAATCTAAAGAGTGCTTTTCAGGAAACAAGAAGAAAAAATGTTTCTACAAGAGGATGTAGGAGCTCAGGAGAGAAGAGGGTGGAAGGGAAGTTATATACTTTTGAAATAGCATCTTCTAGACATGTGTGTTCACATTTGGACCCTACCACTAACAAACTCAGTGACTATGGGCAACGTCCTCAGCCTCTCTACACCTTAGTTAAATGGTATAAATGGTAATGTGGAAATCTCGTTCTTGAGGTTGTTGTAAGGATTAAATTAGATAAGGCAAACCTGCAGGTACTTTTGCATCACTGTGACCAATATACTTGGCAGAAACAATGTAAGCAGAAAAAGTTTATTTTGGCTCATGGTTTCAGGGAGGTCTCAGTTCATCATGGTGGGGAAGGTATGGTGGAGCTGTTCCCTCCATGTGGTCAGAGTGTGAGGTGGTAGCTGGTTGACGAGGAGGCAGAGAAAGAAATACCAGAGCCAGGGACAAGACCAGCCTTCAAGGATCTCCCCCCAGTGACCTACTTCTGCCAGCCAGATTGTGCCTCTTGAAGGCCCCACAGCCTCCCAAAATAGCACCACCAGCTGGGGAACAGGAGTTCAAAACATGAGCCTGTTGGGGACATTTCAGATTTAAACCATAATAGGTACATACAGGTCCAGCTAGAACCTAGAAAGTCCTAAACAAAATTGCTACTTAGAGCCTCAGGGTGCTAGAAGAAAACATTCTGATCTGAAAATCTCAAATATGACACCATTCTATCAGCTCAGTTGTACAGTGTCTGAACCTCTTGTTCCCTTCGATCTGTGACTGGCTCTCTGAAATGCTAAAAATCACAGTAATGATGATAATTAATAACAGTAGTAATAGTGATAATAAAAGCCACAATTACATGACCACTGTATATCATTTAATGGCAGGGACACACTCCAATGAATCTGTCCTTAGGAGATCTTGTCATTGTACAAACACCCGAGAGGGTACTTATACAAACCTACATGGTGTAGCATAGTGCATACCTAACTATGAGCTATTAGCTGTATATGTGTAGCATAGCCTATAGCTCTTAGGGCCATGATGACTAAAACAGAACAAGATTAAATTGAGCACAATGCAGTCAAGAGATGGAATACACACTGATGTAGAAGGCTTCTGGTCAGGGTGATGTTTTCTTTCTATAATGGAGGAATACACTCTGATACTAAAACTAGCGCAAGTATATCAATCAGTCAATAGTTTTTTTGTTATCGTGACCAAGTATTGTGTTCTGCACATAATTGTTCATGCTGCATTTACATGCCTGACAGTGTGGCAGATTGCTCCTACGTGCATCACTTCACACACGAGCAATGCCCTGTGCTGAAATGTCACTAGTCAATAGGAGTTTTTCAGCTCCATTATCATCTAATGGGACAACCATTTCTCATTGATCAAAACATTGTGTGGTGTGTGACTGTCACAGAATCCCCTTAACTGTAAACGTACTCTGCTTCAAGCCCAGGCACATTGCATAGGCCAGCTCCTTTGTTCCTGGCAACAAACTAATGACCTAGGTACTGTATTTAATTCCCACCTCTTAGATGATGAAAATACAACTTAAAAAAGGCTATGAGCTAGGAAGAGAACTGGAATGTAAATCCAGGTGTGTGAGTTTCTAGTTTTACTGCTGTTTTCTTAATCCTCACATTTAACCTCTGCAAATTCAGCCACTATATGTGGAACCACATACAATGGTTGCATCTTCAGCCACCGCGTATTTAAACATTATGTAATATATATATGTATATATATAATTGAGTACTTATCCTTCACCCATGTGTGCTTAGCCACTGTAATCTTATTCTCTAACCCCTTTGCCAGTTGTACTTAACCACTACATACTTCACCCCTATGTACTTAGTTGTACATGTATAATGGCTGTATACTTGACCACAGTATACCTCACTGCTGCATACTTAATCATTACACATGTGGAACCATTCACACACACACACACACACACACACACACACATACACACATACACATTGGGTATCTAACCCCTGCACAATGCACTAAGCACCCTTTAGTTCACTGCTATTCTGTGATGGCACACTTCATAGAACCAGTGTAAGGAAAATAAATGTAGAAATGTGGATCCATGTAGGTAAAAGCTTAGGTGATTATGGAGGTAATTATTAATTATAGACACCTCATAGACTTTAAGTCTACTAGACTTAAAGACTGTCAGTTTTCTCTACGTAATTAAATCTGAGTCTAGGACAGTGGCTCTCAAATCCTTTTCTCCTTAGACTCTGGGGTTCCCAGTGTTAGAGTTCTTTCCTCGTTTTATGACACTCCTTTTAAATCCCCACCCAACCCTAAATTTCTGGCAACTGTTGCACTGTGACCTGTTAATCTGAAAAACGATGGTTTAGCAAGTAACTAAATTTCTTCATCCATTCATTCTTCATTTGGTCACTTGAAAAATGTTCATTAGGTTATTGCTGTGTCAAGTACTCAGAGGAAAAAAAATTGAAAGTGCATTTCATCTATATCAGCAGCCTGTTCACTTTTTGGGTGGTGCATCATGCTCTTCATAACATAGAGGTTATAACTCAGTAGCCGTGGGCTTGATTCCTCTGACTTTATTTTTAATTTGCTAAAAGTGATTCTTGTAAAGCCATGTATGTACATGTATGACTATGTGATGATTATTTATTGATGAGGCAGAGCCCTAAACATGTATTCTAATCCCTTATCATTCTTTCTGCCAATCCCAACGATCCAGGTTCTTAAAATGGAATGAAACATGTCAGTATTTTATGGTGTTCCCTAAGGAGTTGGGCCATTCCCATCTGACTGGTTGCACAAATAGGTTTTAGAAAGCAGCTGGCTTTGTAAGACAGTTCTCAGGGCAGAAACCACACAGGTTCAAATCTCAGTTTAGGTAATCCCTCATTGTGTGGCCACCGGAAGTCAATTCAACGTTCTGAACCTCTTTGTTAATGAGATGATAAAAATCAAATTGCCCTCCTGGAGAGATAGCTCTGTTGGTATAGTTCTTGTCTTGCAAGCATGAAGACCTGATTTCAATCCTCAGAGCCCATGTTAAAAAAAAAAAAAAAAAAAAAAAAAAAAAAACACCAGATGCTGTGACCTACACTTGTAATCTCAGCCCTGGGGGAGGGGGGCAGGGTGAGACAGGCAGGTCCCTGAGATTTGCTGGTCAGCCATCCTAGCCCATTTGGTGAGTTCCAGGCCAATGAGAAACCCTATCTCAAAAGAAAGAAAAAAAAGGAAGGAAAGGAGGGAGGGAGGGAGGGAAGAAGAGAGGGAGGGTGGGGAGCAAAGACAGATGGGACTTGATGAACAACACTCAAGGTTGTCCTCTGGTCCCCATATACATGTGCAACACACACACACACACACACACACACACACACCCTTAGGTTTTGTTGCTGCTGAAATAATATTAATGCTAATTTTCCAGTAAGGTTCAACTAGGTTAGCATGTTTCAGTCCTCAAGCAGCTTTTCATCCCAAACCATGTCTCTTTGCTATGGGATACTTTTTTTAAATCCCTGGAGCCTGTCCCAATTATAAAAGAAGATAACTTGACTTCATTTAACCGCAGCCTGAGTGTTTGAATTTAATTGAACGGGAAATAATTATTCCTGAAGAGCGGAGGTTTTTGAGGTTCCGTGAAGCGATGTAAGATATGTATCTCGTTACATTAGACCTTAGCAAATATACTTTCAATAATCAGCTGCTATTTAGCATACCTTCTGCCTCCTATTAAATTTCCAGCAGGAAGTATAGACAGGATGGATTGGAGAGGGAGGGGGCTGAACTGCTGATTCATTATTTAAAAAGTGATTTATTTACCGAGGTGAGCCATTTGAAAATTCAATAATAAATCTATTAAGGAGTAGTTAACCTCTATAAACCCTGTTTTAAATAATCAATTGGTGTTTGGGCAATGTACAGTGTCTGTCTCATTAGGTGGGCATTAAGTCTTTATTTGAGGCACTTAATCTAAAGTGTGACTGAATCAGCCATGAGGTAGTAATTAGGTGTTCACCATGGGTCCTTGATCCTCCACAGAGCTGGGTCCTTTCCCCTTCCTTGGCTGTGACGTCCAGGGAGCCAAGGGACCTCTCATGCCTGAATTTTCTTTCCCCACAGTGCCTCTCGAGACAGAGACCTGACACCACCACCTTCTTCCAGGGGGAAAAAGAAAAAGAAGAAATCCACCAGGAAGAAACGAAGGAGGTGAGGGTTCCAAAGGGAGATGAAGCCTCGAAGATAGGGGATGAGACTGAGGAGGAGTAATAAGGGTTTTCAAGTCTGACAGTGACTTTACCATGGGTTCACATCCTTTCTCTGCCTCCAAACTAGCTATGCAACCTTGGACTTCACCTTTCTGCACCCATTTTCTCTTTTGGGTTCTTTTTTAATGTAATTAGAAGAGACGCGAGGTCTAAAATAGTGACTCACACATATAATCCCAGCACTTGAGAGTCTAAGGTAGGAGGATTGGGGTGAGTCTGAGGCCAGCCTGGACTACACAGTGAGTGCTAAACCAATCTGAACTACAAAGTGAGACCATGTATCACAAAAAAAGTAAAAGGGAGAAGAGGAGGAGGAGGAGGAGGAGAAGAAGGAGGAGGAGGGGGAAGAGGGGGTGAGGGAGGAAGAGGAATATGGAAGCAGGTGACACCGAGTCTAACACATAGTATATGGTCAGTTAATAGGGAACACCGATTACCATGAATAATACTGAGCTTCTAGGGATGGAGTTCAGATTGCAGAGGCTTATGCTAGGCACCTGCTATCCTCTGTTCCCCTCACACCCTGCCACACTCTACCAGGGAAGCATTATCATCTCCATTTTAGGGATGAGAAGATAAAGGCTCCTAGAATGGGGTGACAGAATCTGCATGACTTGATTCCCAGGATCCTCTCCTGTTCCACCACACCTACCTACCAGGTTCCATACCCAGGGTAACAGACTTTGTATGAATGCCAGCTAGTGGCTCTTTTGTGGTCATACAGTTCTTCTTTGTACACATTTTTGCATTTAAAGGCATTTCCAGATTCCCTTGTAGGCTGCCACAAACTACACTAAAAAGTTGTCTAGTGATCTGGCCCAGAGAACTGGACTTGATAAGCCTTAGAGTTGAGAATCACACCCAACTTCCCAGGCAGTATTCATAGAAGCCTGCAGGGGGCAGAAGAGAGCAGTATCTGAACAATTTGGGCCTTAACCTCATTTTTTAAATTTAAATACTGTGTGTGTGTGTGTGTGTGTGTGTGTGTGTGTGTGTGTGTGTGTGTGTATTGCCTGCATGTATGTAAATACACCCGTGTCATGCAATACCCACAGAGGCAGAAGAAGGCACTGGATTCCCCTGGAACTGGAATTACAGATGGTTGTTAGCTGCCATGTGGGGGCTGGGAATTGAACCAGGGTCCTCTGCAAAAGTAGTCAGTACTCTTAACTGCTAACCTCCTCAACTCCATATTTTCCGTTTTTCCAGAACACCTGGTAACCTACTTCTAAAAAGGGCAGACTCAAAGAGGACTTAGAGGGGTGGTGGGTGGAATCTGCATTCCAATCTTTGTGAGATAAAGGTTGGAACTAGGTAAATTGAGGTCTCTGACATTAGAAGAATGCATAACTTTAAGAGGAAATAGCACATGCTGAGATCCACTAATTATTCATTCAATAAATGTCCACTGAGCATGTTTGGGGACAGAGGTAATTCCTGAAGAGTTAAATTGTTCCTCAATCATTCTTCACTGCTAATATGTTTTGCTTAACCTACAAAATGTTGTTTTCTTTAAAAAAGGAAAATTGGGATGTTTCATATGAAAATATGGATTTCTGGAAACGTCTATGGGAAAGGCAGGTGCTTTGGATGCACATGGCTACATTACCACACTGACCCCTGACTGACCTGCCAGAGGCAGTTGCCCCTGCAGTCAGCTGCTCTCTGGCTCACCTCAGTCCTCACCACTCCCTACCATCTCCCTACCATCTTCCAGTGAGCCTGCTTTATTCCTTTGTAGCACTGGAGAGGCTCTTCTGGCATTGAGCTTGCAATCTCTGCTTCAGTCCTGCTGTGTCAATAAGAAAATAAGCCTAGAGACGAGTCATGGGGACTGTGAGTTGGTGATGAAGTCACGATGGGAAATCAGGATGCCCCAGTCATCACCATGGCCCAGTGAGGTAGCTGTTTCCCAGGTACCCCTTTGCAGTTCCACCCTCGCTGTGACTACAGAGACACAGACTTACCAGGAAGACAGAGAGTGTGACAAAGCACAGACCCACAGAACTTGGAGGGATATAGCTTCCAGGCAGAGCAGCAGATGACAAAAGGAAAACTGGATTTAGGTAGAAGGGTGATTATGGAGTTATGCAGTTCTTGTGAGCAAACCCCTGGGATCAGAGAGATCTCTGTCTGAGTCTCAGCTCATCTGCTTTTTGGCTGTGTGTCTTTGGATAGGTGGCTTCACCTCTCTGAACCTCACTTTCTTTGCCTGAAATGGGAGGATAGCAATTGCACCTACCTAAGAAGGCTGTGGAAGGATTAAATGAGATAGAGTACATACAATTTAAAACAAATGCAAGCTACAGTCAGTATAGAGAGTATCCTTGATGTGTGGTCCCCCAAAAGAGCCAAGAACCTGTATCTGGATGGAGAAGGGACCCATGACAGCCTGTCCTGGCTTTTATTTAGGAGCATCCCTTTGAAGTGTGTCTGCCCTCCCCACAGGTCCCCATCCTATAGCCCATCACCTGTCAAGAAAAAGAAGAAGAAAAGTTCCAAGAAACATAAGCGACACAGGTATTGTCCTTACTCCTCTGCAAATAAGGATATGTTAGATGATGGGGTAGGGGCCAGGGACACAAAGGTCATTTGGAAGCGTCTCATACCAACAGGCTCACTTTATCTTTGTTCTGTTATTTATTTTCATTTATTATGAGTTGGACTCTGGGTGGGAGGAACAGAGGTCCTTAAAGCTAGCTTGGGTCAGCTAGGAGACCTGATAAGAAGAAAGCAGGAGGGTCAGACCAACCAGGCCTAGAAGGGGGCTGGGACTAAGGAGTAGAGAGCTGAGAAAACTCAGGCCATTCCTTCTGCTTCCTGGTCCTTGTAGGGGAGGGACAAGCCTGCATCCTGTCCCATTTTCCCATGTCACAAGCCAGCCCTAAGCAGACACTCACCTCCTTGCCTTGATCTTGAGTTCAGATTCCCAAGGAAAAGGCCTGTCACATGACTCCAACTGTGTCCTAGAGGGCAGGGTCATGTTGAAAAACACAATATCCAAAGTCTCCCACCGCTGTGACTGGGGAGCAGGGAGAGTCATGAAAAGGCCTTATAATTTGGACTCTCAGTTCATGGGTCCATCATACACACCCATACGCACACACACAAGTTAAATGCACATCATATTTATAGAAGAAAAAAGGCTGGAAGGATATAAAACAGAGGGCTCCACCTCCTGGCCCATGGAGTAAGCTAACATGACAGCTGGAAGATTTTGCGATACAAAATGATACAGTTCTTTTGCAGAGAAACTGTCACCAAGCAGTTCCCATGGGCAGCTGTCAGTGGGCTCAGAGGAGTCCCGCTTTCAAGGAGCACTTAGCCTGCTCCACCTGTTGACATACACTTTCTAAGCCCTGCAGTTGGCTGTAGATTTTAGGAAAAGAGTGGCTTGCATTTTGTTCTTGCTTATCTATGTCTTCCAATTCTCCTACATCCATTGTGGATTACTCGCCTGTAATGACCAAAAGTAAGAGGTCATGTGAGTTTTCCTCATCCCAAGGCCATTTCAAAGTCACCTCAATTTGGCTTTTCCAAGTCCAAGAGTCTCAGCCTATGTTGCTAGAATGTTCTCAAACTCAATTTCATCTCACTGGTTACACCCACCACCTGCTCAGACTTTCCACTTGAGCTGAGGTTGTGCTTCATTCGTGATATGGCCAAGTAATGAAATGTGGTCCATAAAGGAGCCATAAGTCCCCCCACGGAGCCTGTTGCTGAAACAATGAATCATCCATGAGTGCAGACAACCGCCCGTGACCCACTTGTGCTGGTCAATACTTGACAGTGAGGGGGACATTTTGGTATCTGGAAGCCAGGTGGTTTCTCACTCAAGGGCTATAATCCCAGCTAGTCATGAGTATGAGGCAGGAGGGCCACAAGTTCAATGGTAGCCTGGGTAGCTTAGTGAAGAGAGGGGAGAGAGACAGAGACAGAGAGAGACTGTGGACAAGCATCATGATGCATACCTATAATATACCCAGCACATGGGAGGCAGAGGCAGGAAGATCATGAGTTCAAGCCCAGTCTGGGCTACATAGCAAGTCGGTTTCAAGAGAGAGAGGAGAGAGAATGGGGAGAATGGGAACGAGCAGGAGAAGTGAGAACATGCTAGAAGCAGGCTTTTTCTGCCTGACCAGGAGTTAGAGCTCTGGAAGAGGAAAGGAAATCCTATTACTGGCCCTCACTAAAGCCATACCTACTGTGCACTACCTTCCTCCTGGTCCAATTTTTCCAAGCTTCTGGAATGTTTGGTTAATGACAGCTGATGCTTCTGGATGTAACAGCTAGGGACAGGAAAAACACAGATTTTTTTCCTTCTCTTAGTAACAAAGTTTGAAAGTTTTTTAAAAACTCATGTTCACATCTACTTGTCAAATACTCAGCATGGATCACGAATGAGGATTCTGGGCCCCCAAAACAAAACAGTGAACAAAATGTAGCCACTGACCTCAAATTGCTTTCAAGCTAGTGGGGTCGATGTAATCACAGGATGGAGAGGTCTGTACTCCAATAAGGGTAAGCTCAGAAGCTCAACCAGGGGCTAAGGAAAGAGAAGAGCCCCAAGAGGCCTCAGAAAATGCTACAGAATGCTAGAGTGGGAAGAGGACATCTCAGAGAAACTCTGAGAATGAGGAGAAACAACAGAGGTGAAGCTATGTGACGTCCGAGCTTTACTGTCTTCCATAGTGTTTCATAGAGATGGAGGTTGTGTGTGTTGGGTGCGCCTGGCACACAGCAAGAGTTCCACTTGTGGAAGCTAGTAGTCTACGATGATGACAAGGGTGAAGAGGGGGAAGTAAAACAAGATGATGATGATGAGGGGGGAGAAGGAGGAGGGGGGGAGGAGGAGGGGGTGGGAATCTACAGCAAAGGAGAGAGAGGAGCAGAATTGTGGAGGCAGAGTACTCTTGCCCTCCTGGTCCAACCTCATCTAGTACAGGCTTACTGACAATTTGAACACTGGTGAACTGATGAACATTGGTAGGCTTTGACCTGAAAATGCGGTGTATAGAGCTATATTTCCTGTGAGGACTTCACTTTGAAATCTGATTGAAGAAGAGGAGTGGCTATGAGTCCTGACCCCCCAACTCTCTCTCTCTCTCTCTCTCTCTCTCTCTCTCTCTCTCTCTCTGTATCTGTCGAGACAGTCTCTCTCTCTCTCTCTCTCTCTCTCTCTCTCTCTCTCTCTCTCTAGGTCATTCTCCAAGAAGAGGAGACACAGGTAAGAACCTTGGTATCCCTGCTGCTTCTGCTTCAACAGCCAGGCTCTGGGAAGCTGCAGATTGGCTCTCAGGTTCCATTACTGTGTTCGTCTCCCCCTTCCCTTCCATCTACCTGGGCCTAAGCTCCCTCTGAAATGAAAGCCCATGTTGATTTCCCTGAATACTTAAAGCCAGTTTTCAACTTCAATGGGGCTGAGTATTGCTCCTGTACCAAGCTCTGCCCAGGACTGTTTTACCTTCATTGAAATCTGAAGGCACTTAGAAGAACACAGGTGCCATCACTCCACCAAGCCTTTTCTTAATTTGTCAAGGAATAGAAACCAGAGAACACAGTGGGAACAACATAAAGCTACCACTTACAGGGACTCATACAAAATGGGTCCTACACTCAGTCCCTTCCACAACCCACCATAACTCATCACAACCTTGCACAGTGGGTATGTTTATGGTTCCCATTTTACTGATGGAGAAACTTAGACTAAGACAGGGGATGACAGGATAGTAGCCAAAATTCAAACCCAAACCTGTCAGCTAAAGGATATGGACAGGTGATAGTGGCTTCTTAAATAACAATAGCCACATCTAGAGCAGTTCATAGAAGGCAAGGCCTCTGTGTGTCCATCACTGGGTAAACAGTCATGGCCCATGTCATTGATTACTACTGAGTGCCATCCACTCAGCTACACAGCCTGGGCTGTGGCCTCATTATTACATAGTTGAGGCAACTGGGTCTTAGACAGGTCAAGCTGCTTGCCTGATGTCATACAACTGAGCAGCAGAGGCAGGACTTGAACCTGGTGAGGTGTGATTGAACGGAATTGATGTTCCCCCTTTGCAGGAGCTCAGCATATAGCAATGGGTTCCTGGGGATCCACTGAAGCCAATCTGGCTTGAAAGACAGTCATCCTTCTCAGTCTTCTGCTTGATTACATTGGGACCCTGGGTCCTTGTTGTCCATTTATCCACAGCCTAGAGCTCTGATACTTGAATATTCATGGGTAGAGCATTTTAGAAACTACCACACTCGATCTGCCTCCATCTATCTTTGTGGATATTCTGTTAGGTATTCTGTTATCTTATAAACTCATTGACCAGCAGTCCCAAGCATGGCTCCAGGGTACTATGGTCTTAGCTACCTTCCAGCTCAGCTGTGTGATCCTGCCAAAATGTATTAACCTTTCTGAGATTTAGTTCCCACATTGATGAAATGAGCTCTTACAAACCATGCCTCTACCCTTAGGTGATGAGGACAATAAAATGAGATTGTTGGCTTAAAGTGTTTGGCACAGTGCCTGATCTATACTATGACCACAGAATGGCAGGTGTTTTTGCTGTGACCTTCATTACCACTGCTAACCCACCAGAGAGAACTTGGCCTCCTCAGCACCCCTTTCTCATGTACATGAGTTAGGACCCCTGGCATGGTAACTTGCTGCATGAAGATGCTGGCATTCGAACAACTACCCATTTTTAATCTTTATCTGTACTTTGTTTTGGTTGCATCTTTCAATTAATTGGCCATTTCTTATTTAGCTCCTCTAGCCCCAAAAGCAAAAGACGGGAAGAGAAGAGGCACAAAAAACAGTGAGTAGATGAACCCCCCAGAGCATGCTGTGCGGTTTGGAGAAGTGGAAGCTTGACCTCTCAGCAGCAATGGTGTTAGCCATTTAACAGGGCTGGGAGAGGGCGGTGAGGTGGCTGAGAGGGGTGAAGGAAGAAAGGAGGTGAAGGGAGAGAGCCATATGTGTCCTTGAAGATGTGGGGTGAGGTATGCACAGATACACCAGGGTGTGTATGTGTTGTGGGTGTGTGCATGTGTGTTTATGTGTGCATGTGGCATACAGTGTATGTGTCTGCCTGATATGCTCATGATGTGTGTAATGTGTAAGCATGCCATATATGTATTTGTATGTAGTGTGTATGTGTGCACTGCGCACATTGTTTATTATCTGTACATTTTGATGTGATGCAAACATTTATTCATATGGTATGCACAATGCATGCAACATGGGAACATAGCATGCATGCATGTTATCTACTTGTGGTCACAAGAACACATTTGTGTACCTGTGTGATACACATGGATGTACTGTGGTATGAATTCTGTCCACTGTATATGTATCCTATGTGTGCACTGCTTGTATATCTCTATGTATTCAGGGTAGGGGATGTGGCAGTCTTTACTTGCACACATGTATGTATAGTGTGTTTATAAAGTATGGGGTGTGATCATGTGTGTATACATGTGTGAACATGCATATGAGTACATACCCTGACTACTGGTTTCCAGTACAGAGTCCATAAATCCCAGTCTCAGAACCCCAGCTGTTACACAGTTTATAGCTGTAGTAGAAATTCAAATTAGTCAGTGTTGCCTGCAGAGTTCAGTTCCCAACCAAATTAAAAGTACATTTGTTTACAGCCCACCTACTTTATACCCTGTAAACGTTAGTGCGTGCGTTTTCCAATCAACTAATATTTTATCTCCTGCCAAGAAGCATCTAAAGAGAGGATCAAAGACAATAGGATGAAAGGAAGTCAGCTTCTGAGGAGGAAAGAGGCAGGGACACAGAAGGAGGGTACCCAGCATGGCTGCCTCAAAGGGTCCGTTCACTCAAGGTTAGTGCAGAAGAGGGCTGAATGTGCTCCAGAAGGAAAATCTAGAAACTCCAGTAAGCTCAGGAAAAAACTTTCCCACCAGCTGACTTATTTAATTGAAGTCAAGAGAAAAGTATTTATCACATTACACCCCCTACAATCCCTTGAGTTTAGTCCTATTGTCATCCCACTGTGAAGATGAGGAAATTGAGGCGCAGAGGCTAGTGACACAGCTAGCGTTGAAACCAAGGAGTTTGGCGTCTTTTCATTTCCAGCACAGAGAAGCTGAGCATGGAGCATGTGTTCTCAGAGATGTCAGTGCCAGAGGACAGAACACCTCAAGAGCACTGAGGAGGAGGATGGCCACTCTTCCCCAGTGTCAGGAGATGGACAAAACCCAGCAATTATTAGCAGAACATCAGAAAACTGTACAAACCACAAGATGAATGGCAGGAAGGAGAGAGAGAGAGAGAGAGAGAGAGAGACAGAGAGATAGAGAGACAGAGAGAATGGCTTCCAGATAGCAAAGGCTGCTCTTGGCAAGCCAGAGTCAGCTTCCTTTCCCCAGCATGCCTTACCAAGGCCCTAGCATGTGGCACCCCTATGCTGGACTCTAGGACAGGTGAGCAGACATTCTCCTGGACTCTAGGAGGTCATAGTACAGTGGGCATAGGATCGGGCATGAGAAAGCTGTAACGAATGAAAGCCTGGGACCCAGCAAGGACACCAGTTGATAAGCAGGGCTTGGTAGTGAAGGTGGCCTCCTGCAGAGGGAGGGGGACATCCAAGCTGGAGATGAGGATGGGAGAGGACCGTCTAAGGCTGCATGTCAGGCACCTGGTTTAAACTCTCTGGCTTCAGTTTCTTCATCTGTGACATGGGAATTATAAGGGGACTTCTTCAGTTGTGAGGAACAGATGAGTCTATGGACAGAAAATACTAAGTGCCTGGGCTTGATGTATGTGTTAGATGTGGGTTATCTGCACCTGCTGTCATTGTCATCCTTCCCATCAGAACACCAGAAACTGGACAACCTGTGAGCCAGAAAACAAGCTGAGTTACAAACCCACTCTTGCCCTGAGTCTGACAGGCCAGGACAGAAGAAAGCAAACAGCCAGGCTAGAGACCCAGGCAGAGGTAGCTCCTGAAGGTGCCAGCATTCAAGATCAGAGTCTGGACATAGCATGATGGCAGGGAGGAGCGTTTAAGGAGGGAATGGCTGTGGCCCAGCAACTGTACCAGAAGAATCTAAGCAGGCTAGAATCATCACTGGTTCCCACTGACCTCCAAAACTATGGTTCCTGCACACCCTTCATTTTGTTTTGTTTTTGTTTGTTTTTGAAATAAAGTCTCACTATGTAGTTCAAGGTAGCCTCAGATTCATGGTGATCCTTCTGCCTCAGCTTCCCATGTACTGGGATTACAGTGTGAGCCAACACACCTGGCTTTTCAATCCCCAGTTACTAGCACTGCCACACCTGGGTAGGTGTTGCTCCTTCAAAATAGCTAAAGTTAGCTGTTGAGATGCCATTGTTAAGGGCTGGGTATCAGCCACGAATGATGATGTTTGCAGCCTGTTTTGAAGGCTTTGAACTCCATGCTAAGGATCTAGACTTCATGTTCCAGGTCTGAGGTTATGAATTGGTAACCCAAAGACCTAATGCACTCTAAAAAGGTGTTTCATGTACACCAAAAATGTCTTTTTATTTTAAGCACACTTACTTTTAAAATAGGAATCCTCTACATTAAAAAGTCTGTATTTTAGCACCAAATGAGGTAGCATATGCCATTAATTCCAGCACTTGGGAGGCAGAGGCAGGTGGCTCTCTATGAGATTAAAGCTAGCCTGGTCTACACAGCAAGTTCCAGGCCAGCTGGGGCTACAGGCAAATCCTGTCTTGAAAAAAAAAAAAGAAGTCTAACTTGGAACATTAGAGGAGGCAGCAGGGCAGTGGGCTGGAGGCAGAGAAGCCTTTTCAGTACAACCCTGGCCTTAGATCAGTACGTGGCTAGAACTGACCGGCCTTTGAAGCTGTCTAAAATGCAGACTCTTAGAGAGGAGCAGGTGGTGCTTGGAGATAATTTCTTACTCTGGGTGTAGTCTGCACCAGGCCTGCTTCTAGCATGAGGACAAATCTGGAGTCCTCCAGGCTCCCCATAAAGTGCCCTTTTATGCATCCCTGTGTTTAGTCCAGCTAGGTAAAAACTCCCAAAGATACAAGCATGAAGCTGGGGGTGCAAAGCTGGGAGATGAAGCCCTTTGACAGGGGCCAAAACAAACTCCTTGGGTGTGAAAAAGATGTGTCACAAGATCAAAAAGCAAAGTCAATCTCTCTCTCCTCTCTCTTCTACACCCTCCCCTCTCTCTCCTACACCCTCTCCCTCCCCCTCTCCCTCCCCCTCCTCCCTCCCCCTCTCCCTCACTACTCTCTGCCAGTTCTCTTTTCATCTCCTTTCCAATCAAATTCAGTCACTCCCGGACCTTACTCACGGCCACTGGACAGCACTGGTTTCTGCGACCGTTGAACTACCCGGCACAGTTACTTCCCCCTTCCCCTTCCCCTCCCCCTCTCCCTCTCCCTCTCTTCATTCACTGTTCATCCCAAGATCTCGAAGCCGGCCCCGAAAGTCTCACCGTCACAGACACCATCGATGCCCCTCACGATCCCAGAGCTCAGAATTGCGCTCCTCCAGCTGTGACAGCAGGTAACCGCTGGACCCTCAGAGTGTGTCATCTGCTAAGATGAGAGTATGAGACCCAAGCTCTGCCCCTGTGTTGAGCAGCTCTTTGACTCTCCAGGCCAGAGCAACTGCTGCTTGCTGTCAGCAACTATAGGTAGATGGGGTTTGCCTCTCCCTTTAGAAGGGACCAGTTGACAGCCTCAGCTGGAAAGCAGCTTCACTCTGGTGATATCAACTCACATGACTGCTCTCTGTCTTCAATCCCTTTAGATGGGTCCTATTGTTATCCCATTGTGAAGAAGAGGAAACAGGCACTGGGGTTTCAAGAACTTGCTACTTAGTAACTAAATGACCCAGCTAGTGTTGAAACCAGAAAGCCAGCTTGCCTCTAAATTTTTCATTCTTAGCACAGAGAAGCTGAGCAATTTATGAAAGGTCACACAGCACAAAGTACCAAACTCTGAGGCCTGTCCAAGTCAGCTTTCTCCTAACTCAGATGTCTCTATATGGCTGCATTGGCTGTCCAAGTCTGAGAAGGGGAGAGAAGTTCTCCTGTGGGTGAGAAGAAAAACAATGGGAACCTTGTGTGCAGGAAGACCAAGTGCTGATCACACTTGACTACATGCTCATAAACCTGAAGAGACAAAAAACTCACTGCCCAGGCCTCATCTTATTTCAGTGAAATCAAGATGGCTAGAGGAAAAAGTGAAGGAAGAGGAGGAGGAGAAGGAAGAGGAGGAAGAAAAGGAGGAAGAGGAAGGGGAGAAAGGAGAAAGGAGAGGAAGAAGAGGATGAGTGGGAGGAAGAGGAGGAGGACATGAAGGAGAAGCAGGAAGAGGAGGATGAAGAAAGAGAAAGAAGCGGAGGTGGAGGGAGAAGGAAGAGGAAGAACAAAGGAGGAGGAAGTAGGGACGAGAGGAAGAGGAAGAGGAACAGCAGCAGGAGGAAGAAGGGGGACAGAGAAGAGGAAGTGGAGGAGGCAAGGGAGGAGGGAAAAGAAGAAATGTTTGTCTAAACGCCTCTGGGTGAGGCGCTGGGCTCTGGTTTCAAGCACTTTCTGTCTTAATGATCTTAATGGCATGATGAGATGAGCTTGCCTGTGTTTCAAACTCCCTGCTCTTTTCACCCCAGACTCTTTAAAGGTCCAGGTGCCCAGGTTCTACCCTCTCGCCATCCTGATGTAATTGGGATGCAGCAGAGCCAGGCAGAGAGACTGCAAAATCTCCTGGGGAACGTGAACACTCAGGCAGACCCAAGTGTTCTATAACCTAGGCCCTGACACGTCCCCTTCTAACTGACCTCGATGGTCCTGGCGGACCCCAGCTGCAAATGGCATCAGCAGATGAAGCCACACAGTGCTCTGATTGACCAAGACACAGTTAAGACCCCTCTGTGTGCAGAGCTGAGCCCGTATGAAATGAGAGCTTCATCTCAAACACAGAAGTGGGGGAACATATTTGTTTCAGTGAGTAAGAGTGGAAGTTGCTCCTTCAGTGATTACATCTTAGCCTCCATCTAGTTCTCTTCTAGGTTGGCTCAGCACCTCATTCTGCCTTCTGACAGCAAGCAGCCCAGAACAGTGCCTCAGTCACTTGGCATTCCTTCAAGACAGTCTATGACAGGTTCAGGCTAATACCCCATTACAATCAGGGTCCCAGCTTTGTGAAATTTGCACCTCTGCCTCCACCCCAGGGTCAATCAGCTCACAATGGCTCAGCCCTGCTAGCCTGGGCAAGAGGACTGTTTGGGCCCCAGCCAGTTACCTACTAGAGAAAAGATGGTGTCACAGGCACCAGCCCGAGGCCTCCAGCTGTCCTATTTCCTGGTGGTATGTCCACCTGAGCTCCCTAGTGTTTCTCAGGCTGAAGGAGTCTCCGGAAGGCCTGAGAGCAAACTGAGAACTGACACACGGGTCACATATACTCAGGAGAAGAATGATCTGGAAGCCCCAGAGCAGACAAGAACAGTTCAAAGCAAGAGCTAGATAAAAACCATTCCTACAGGTGAAGAAATCTGCCCTGGTCTGGTCACTTTTAAGCTGTGTGACTTCAGGAAAGATCCTAAACATTTCTGAACCTCAGCTCCCTCATTTGTGAAATGGGAAAGTAACACCTGTCCTGTCTATTTCTTCAGGATGTAGGGTAGAGTGTGAGGGGTCTCTAGGTCATTGCAAATTCATAAAGTGTTATTTGTATGTAATACTGTGGCTCAGAGATTCCAATTGTGGTTATTCTAAGAGGTTAGACATGAATGAATGAATTGATAGATGGATCAATGGATTGATGGATGAATGGTGCATAGATAGATGGGTGGATGGATAGATGAATAGATGGATGAATTGATGGCTAAATGAATAGATGGATGGCTTGGTTGATGGATGACGTGTGGATGGATAGGTGGACAGATAGATGGATGGGTGGATGAGTGGATGAGCAATAAGTGGGTAGGTAGAGGGACATGCACACACACAACACATATACAGAGATCCCAGGACAAAAACCATAAGAATATGCACAAACATACTCTGTCATCTTCAGATATGTTATCCTAGCCCCTCAGCCATTTCTCTCCTATGCCTGCCTTCAAAATACCCTCAAGTTTCTCTCTTCTACTGCCTGCCCCCCCAGGCACCGAGGCCGGTCTCCTGAGGAAGGGCGGAAATCCCGCCGAACGCACTCCCGCCGCTGCTCCAAGAACCTGTGCAAGGTCAGCCCTGAGGCCCGGTCCCACCACCCACCCAGCCAGCCCCTCCAGATGCTCAGCTTCCTGTCAGCCAGGGGTGTAGTAAGTATTCTGCACAGCCCCTCTGCCAGCCTTGCCACAACTCTTGGGGGAGGTGGAGGTACAAGTTCAGGGCAGTGTATGATACATTTTATCCAGTTTTGGGCACAATATCCCACTGGCTCCAGACTATCCAAGTGATCATTCTCCAGCCTTTGACTACACTTGGCTTGGGGACTTGGGAGACAAAGGTGGAAAATGAAAATACATAGGCTCCTGTTCCAGGGGAATGTTGAAGTACAAATACTGACCTCAAAATGACATGTATGAGATATTAGGAGGTTTCTTAAGGGTAGGAGGAAGAGAAGGGTCTTTGACATGAGAAAGACATCCGAGTTTTTATGTGAAGTCTGCGTTGTTTGTGTCAGCTGGCTGGCAGCATTGTTTGACGACTGCACTCTGACTCCACCTGTAAATATGAGCTTGCAGTACTTGGCCTGTTTCTTTTCATGTGTTCACGCACAGTCTCAAAAGTTGAAGGGTCAGCTACTGTTACTCATCCCTCCCACAACTGAGGCAAAAATACCAAAAGCTCAGAGAAGCAAAGGTTTGGGGCAAAGTCACAGAATGAGACAAGAGTGAAGTCTATTTAGTGACCTGGAAATTAACCAAAGCTGCAACCCTCCCCCAGGTCGACAAGGAGTTGGCATGTGACCTCAGACACTTTGGTGTGGAGAGAGATCTGAATTTAAGTCCTAGCTTTGCTTCTTCTTAGCTATATGGTTTTGCACAAGTTATGTAACCACAATTTTCTCATTAATAAACTTGAAGTAATACCACTTCCATTTGGGGTGGTTGGGACTATTCAACAAATACATTGAAGGCATTTTGGGGATTCTGAAAGAGCAAGCAGACACACAGGAAGAGCATCAACCTTGATATAGCCACAGTCTGCAGCCAGTAGCTCTGAAGCGAGCCTGTCTTCTCCAGTAATATGATATCCTGAATATTGCGAGGTTAAGAAAGGATGAGGTGGAAGCATGAAGAACTCAGAAGTGCCCATGAGATAGTCGAGAAAGGGAAGGTACTAATAAACCACACTGAGGTCTGGTTGATACTATAGCGATTCACTGTGTGTTCTGGAAAATTCTTCATAGTCAAGGTTATACCAGGGTCTAATTTTATCCATGTCCCTTGCATGTCTCAAAGCACCCACAACTCTCCCTATGTACACCATCACAAGGATCTCAATGATTACTGAGAACTTGCAGATGTCAAATGCCCACCTGTATTCTCTCATCTCTAAATACCCTAAATTTATTCTTCAGCAAAGACTCTAGAAGCCAAAATTCAGGTCTTAACTAAGCAACTTGCCCACCCACCTCTACCATCCTCAGCTTCCTCAATGTGGAAACGGGTATGATGATTTCACTTGTGGAAAAGGTATAAATCAATTTGAAAGATGAGCAATAAGAGAGACAGAGGAATGTTTCTGAGTTAGCACTGGCTGTCCTGTCTCCCATTTGTGGTAGCCTGCCTAGAAGTCCCACCTGACCTTAGCTACAAAGTACCAGTGACAATACCTGACTAATACTTTCATACCTGCCTGATGATTTCATAACAAGCTCACAGTGTGAAGATGTTATACAAAGCTGCATCTGCCCCCCACCCCGATGTTGCCAGACTAGCTCTTGAGAACTGGCTTTCCTAAAACACAGGTTCTTGCTAGCTGTGAGGTATGATGCTTCCATGTCCCTCAGGAACCCAGCACCTATCAGGAGAGTGGAAAGACAAGCCTCATCTGTACATACAAGGAAGAGGCATTAATAGCTCACCTCTCTCAGTACTTTGATTATCAAGATCAGAAATTGAAACTCATAGGAGAGAAATTACTTACATGGCTATTGCAAGGTAGAGTTGTTAAAATGGGGGATTATAGTTATTATATTAATCCTTTCTAAGATGAACTTTCTCTATCTGTAAAACAATAACAGATAAACAGATACATGCACACATACATATACAGTAACAGAGTCTTCTTCAGTAGACAACCACTGAGCCCAATACTTATTCCAGTGACAAAACTCAGTGAATAGTAGTGATGTTATGATAACATTCTAGATCCCAGCTCTAAATTTATCTGCTGTAAGAGCCTTGAGCAAATTCCATCAACACCGTGTCTCTGTTTCTATAAAATCTGAAAAACAAGGCAACCAGTTAGACCTATTTTAGAAGATTGTTATGGGTTCTCCGTAACTTAATGTGAGTAAAATTTTAGAATGCAGCTGGTGAGTGGTAAATGCTGCATGATGCTTCTTTCTCTTGGTACTAGTGACAGTGTAGATGCAACAGTGGAGGAGGTCAAAGTAATAACTAGAGTATAACTCCAAGCCTGGGCAAGCCAATGGTTAAACTTGGATAAATCCGAGACAGGGCTTTGCTTTCCAGAAGAGTTTCTTTCCATCATAAACAGTGGCTGCTTCCCACATGGCTACGCTCACCCCACTCAAAGTTGTCTGACTCCTAGAAGCATCAGATAAGCCCCAAATCTGATCTCCCACATTTCTTCCATATTTAGCCCCCATTTTATCTTCTCCTTTATGAAGGCAAAAATGAAAGAAGATTCTGGGTGAGATCAAAGCTTTCCCAAGTGTTTCAGTCCCAAGGTTTTTCTTTGTTAGCTCTAACAGCAGTCATTCATGTTAAACCACCTATTAGTTATTCCTTCAAGTCTAGCAACATCTACTGAACATCTATAGAGGATCAGGCTTGGATTTGGCTCCAGGGATCTGATAAATAGGAAAGAAGTCTGTACCTGCTAATGGGAAAGTAATACAGGTGATAACACTAAAAAATCAAGTGTAACAATGAATGCTCTGATGAGGTGGAAGGTTGGCTGGTGGGAAAGGATATTAGGTTGTGGCAGGCAGAGAAGGTACCAAAGACCTCAAACACAAACTGAGAACAGGATTCAACCAGTGAAAATGAGAAACAAATATTGGAGATGGGGTTTGAGATAGAATTCTAGGACAAGATTCAGATGTTAGAGATGAATAGGGGACCTGAGCAAGAAAGGTCTTCTGTGTTCCAGGTCCTACCACACTTGACTGTTGGAATTTCATATGCATAGTTCTTTTACAAAGTCAAAGACAGGTGCATGATATCAACATGGGAGATGCTTTGCGTATGTAACTATGCAAGTAGGGAGCTTCAATCTGAACTGAATCCTGGGGGGTAGAAGGTAACCAGAGGCTCTCTTGCTTGGTCACTGAGTCTCAAGGAGATGGTGTAGGACCCATCACAACCTCATTCACAGACCTTATCTTCAGTCCACCATGTCTGTTCAAGGCACTAAGAACGCAGAGATGGGGGCTGTAGAGATGGCTCAGCGGTTAAGAGCGCTGACTGCTCTTACAGAGGACCCAGCACCCACATGGTGGATAATAACTGTCTCTAACTCCAGTTCCAGGGGATCCGATGCCTTCTTCTGACTTCCACAGGCATTGCACAACATGGGTGTACTTATACACATGCAGGCAATATATTCATACATATAAAATAGTAATAATAATAATAATAATAAATATTTTTAAAGGAGGCAGGGACATGAAAAAAATATCTTGTTGAACTGGAACCCACAGTCTAGTTGCCAACCAAGCCTGCTGTCTAGTGTAATTAGGGCAGAATCATGGCTGTGGACGTCAGTCTCTCCTTTGTTTGTTAAAATGGTCAAATACTTACATACCAATTGGCAAAGAGATTATTTTACCACCTCATCCCACCCCAGTCAACCAGTCATCCCTTCCCTTCCCTGAAATTTTCAGGACCTCCTCATAATCCACCCACTAAAACATAACAGTTAATCACTTTCAATGTCAAGGCTACCTTCCAATGGAATATACTCAGCCAGCTGGTGAATGTTTTAAGTATCACCCCTGACTGTGACGAGTGCAAGTGCGTTATGTACAGGAAGCATCAGACACTGTTGTCAGGATGTCTGAGAGGATATTTGAACTGGGTATTAAAAGATGTGTAGGTGTTTGCCAGTTTGAAATTACTTGTGGACAGAAGGAAGGGGATTGTCAGTACATGGCAGGTACCATTACATACTTTATACAGTTTTTCCCTCATTTGACGTATATTTCTTGGAGATAGGTGTCATTATTATCCCCATTTTTTGGATGGAGAAAGTGAGGCTCTGGTAGTCACACTGGCCTAGGAATATGACTCATTGAGAGAGAAGAGAACTGGCAGAGATCAAAGCTTGTAACTTAGAAGCTTATTTTGGTGGTAGCATAGAAGGTGGATGGGATCTAGGGATGCTGGTGGCTCAAGGGTTTAGGGGAGCCCTTTGTCTGTGCATGGACATTTTCCATCAAGCTTCTCATAACCACAGAAGAAATCTAGGAAGGACTGATCCAAACTAAAGCAAAATTAAGAAGGAAGTCCACACTTCCCCCTTGTGCCTATAATCCAGGTCAGTAATGTTCATATATGGCTTATCTACAAAATGTTGCCCAAATGGTAAAGACAAAAGAGGCAAAAGGGGAATGTGGGGTCTGTAAAAGACAGTCTCATGGAATTCGTGAACTGAAGGAGACATTAGAATGTCCGTCTGTGATTAAGACACGGGCTTTGGAACAGATCGGAGATCTGGAGTCCCCAAACTTGTCTCCCTGTGAGGCCCAGGTGATACCCATAGCTAATGCTGTCTAACCATCTACTAACCAGGTACTAGGATGGATATTTTACATGTGTCATTGCCCCATTTAAGTTTTTATTATAGCCCTTCAGGAGACACAGTATCTCCATTATACAACAAGGAATCTGCAGCCTAGAAAAATCAAACAAAAGGCAGATATCCAACTAGACGCTCAGACCTAAGCCCAGAAAGACTTGCCTAGGAATCCATGTGCTTAATTACATGTCAGTATCTTCATCTGTATCTTAGGCTAATTATCTTACCTACTCACAAGAAGTCATTATGTGGATGGAGTGAAACAAGGTTTCCATTCATTTATTAACATATGCATTAAAGGCAGGAGAGATAGCTCAGCCAGTAA